CGCACACTACGATAAAATTTCCTGTAATGAAACATGCAGCAGATTGTTGAAATGCGTTTTTCTTGAAAACGGACAATTTCTAGAGCTAATGACAAGTATACCATTTTTTCACGAAAATAATGTAGGTTTAAGATTTTTTAAAAAAAGAAGCGTTAACGTTGTGGATAAAAAAATTATGCTCGTATTTACGTCATAAACACGGCGTATGTGGCGCCCTCTAGAAGATACATCGAAATAGATAACAAATTATGATTTCTCGTATACAAAAACATCTACCCCTAAATTTTCACGTTCATACACTCAAAAATATTATAATTATTATGAAAATTCAATTTTTAATTTCCAACTTTGACGCCCTGTATCTTTTTTGTTATCAACATTTTATTAAGGCATATTGGCTCCAATCGTAATATTTTGAAGTAAAAAATCTAGTATGTCTCTATGGACCATTACTTACGGACCACCCTGTATATAAAAAATGTTTGAAAATTATAGTTTTTCTGAAATAAAAAATAAGAGTAGCAATCTCCAAACAGGGAATCACTTATGAAACATTCATTTTTTATAAGAAGTAATTTCCACTTTGCTTCTTTCCAAAATATTGCTTAGAACCCCAGATATTTAGAAAAAACTGTTTTTGGGGGCGAATTTTCGAGAGTGTATTTCACCCCCTAAATATGTTTTTCCGCTGATAAAAACACCGCTTCCATAGAACTCAGTTTCACTACTAAAACAATACTGCAACTATTTAAAGGAGAGCGCAATTGCGTGCAATTGTCAAATGTGACAGATTTTGTAATATAAAGACCGCGATTAGGTCAGCCCAGACAGACCGCGATGCGACGGGACGGGACCGCGAACGCCTAATGCGTTCGTTTCTAAAAAAGACCGCGATCAGCTCAGCTCAGAACGGACCGCGACGGGACAGGACCGCGACCGCCTAATGCGTTCTCTCCTTAAAGGTCAAATTTTGTTATGATTAAAGTAATTAGCCTCTATTCTAACGTCAGCTACTATTGAGATGTAGGTGTTAGGATGCAGTTTATTGTAATTTTTTAAATTATCTGACAGTAAAGAAATAGTCTTGTCTCCCAAAAATATCATCACTGAATTTAGGCGATTCGGCGATTAGGTGATTTGAATTGTTTTAAAATTTGTAAGCAAAATTTACATCTTGTAGAATTATATATTTTTATTTTCTCGGATCGGACGGACCGTGCTAGAATTTTCTTTTTTTTTAAAGAATTATTCGCTTAGTTTGGTATCGAACTTATCTACTTTTCACACTTTCAAGTTACAGGATGATGAAATACTGAAAAAACGAATCAAAAATAGTCTGCTATGTATATATATATTTCCACCCTGTACATATACATGATATATATATATTCTTTTATAATTATAATTCTTTTCTCGACTACCTAAATCTTGGAAGAAAACAAATCCATTCTAATTGGTCTATTTAAGTCGGGGCGGTCGCTGGCTTCAGAAAACACGAATGTTTTTTCTGCGTCCACATACGGACGTCGAATGATGGTGGATGCAGAATCATATGTAAATTNAAAAAAAAATATTTCGATGAAATAAAAATAGGATATTATATTTCCCCTTAAAAATTATGAGTTTCTGAATATAAAATATCTATAAGAAATACTATTAAAAACGAAAAATTCTAATTAAAAACCTCACAACTTTTTGCTAATTTTATTATTTTTAAGTAAAATCTTGATTAATTTAATTGTCAAAAACTCCACTCTTACCTTTTTTTCGGTGGATTCGTTTCGAGCTGCCGGCAATAATTTATTAGAACACAATGATATCACTTCATCGGTAAATAAACACTCGTTCTAAAAATATGATTTTTAATTTTAGTTATTAACACTGCAGTTTTTTTTATATTTTTTATTTACCTCAAAATCATTTGCATATTGAAATGCAAATGGTTTGAACCATTCGAATACAGTTGCATCAAATACTCTAGGTTCTTCAAGATCAGGTTTCTTATGCTAAATAAAAAAATAGATCATTATAACAGTAACTGTGTTATAAACAAATGTAATATACAATGTGTACAAGGTAATGCCAAATTTAATTAAAAACATAAAAACATTAAATAAAAGTTTAAAAAAACCGATTGTTTTTTAAAATAATACACTATACTGAAACACAGCAATTTTTAATATAGTATGTGAGTATAATATTTGCTTTATAAAATAACGTGTATATTTTGCGTTCGAGATATTTTACATGACTTAGGAAAGACACTCCCATATTCATTTATGTAGCATATAGAGGTAAAATTAAATTACTATACCATAAAAAAAATAATGAAATACAAACCTTTGGTAATATTCGTACTTCCGAAATAATATTAATTTTGGGGGGACGGGTATCCTAAAAAACATTTTAGTTTTGGATTATCTGCAATATTTTATAATAAAGTATGGTAGTTTATAAAAGCAATGTATATTTATCATTTTTAAATTTTTATATTGAAAAGTACACACAAAAAATAACCAATTGTCTTATGTGGTAAATTAGTGCAACTGAAAATATTGTAAAACTTTTAAGGTAAATACAAACCTTTTCACTTACCACTACTATTTTTTCCATTACAGGAATTTCGAGTGAAGAATCCTAAAAATATTTATTACATACAGGGTGTCCCATTAATATTGCGAAAAAATTCAGAGGGAGTTTCCTTGACCTAAAATAAGAAAGAAAGTTCCTATAAACCTGTCCGAAAATGCTTCGTTTCGGAGATAGATGGTGTTGAAATTTAGAGAAAATACAAGGTTTTTACTAATATCTGGACAACCCTAACTCCGATTTTTTTAAATTTGGTATGTGCGGTAGACGTCTTCTGACGTAATTTGATTTATTTTATCTATTCCAGCGGCGTCCGGGGACTCACTCTTGTTGATATTAATAGGTAAACATATGAGACGCCACTGCTTTTTATTAGGTGTCATATATTTTTTTAATTATGCGATTAAGAATACAACTTTTTTGTCTCTTTACTTTTTTTGATATCTTGCTTCTTTTTCGAGTAAAAAATTTATAAAATTTCAACACCCTGTATCTCCGAAACGAAGCATTTTCGGACATAGGTTTATAGGAACTTTCTTTCATATTCTTGGTCAAGGAAACTCTCCCTGAATTTTTGCGCTATATTAATGGGACACCCTGTATATTACAAGATTAAAAGAAAACATTATTGACTATCCTTAAACTATATTTGCTTAGAAACTCACTCTAGAAAAATAACAGCCTGTGAAGATTTGGGTTAAGAAATGTAGAATGCTAGTTATTATAGATCTGTAAGTGAATAAACTTACAGAATACGTACTTTGTGTATTTTTTATCTAGTTTTTATTTCCTACTATTATCTAGTTAAGATGAAAAATTACTAAAAGTTTATGTACAGTGTTGCTTTATTAGATAAGTCAAATCATTCTGTATATCGACAACGAAACACATTTTAGATATTTATCAAGGGTTGTTTTCGGAGTAGGCTATGATTCCTCTATTCACAGTATGAAGAAATTTTTATTGTTAAATATTTGTTTTAAAACTTGAAATGTTTAAATAGTTATTTCCCTGACTTAATTCTTGCGTTAGAAGTTGTATAAAACACTTCATTTAAACTACTTAATTTTTAAGCGGTGAAAATAAAAGAGATACTCGAAAAAAGTCCTATCCGCGATATTATTGTAATACAAGACATCTCTCATCTCGTGAGTCAAAAAATTTTAATAGCTAACTTTTCTATTTAAACAAATAAGTGAGGAAAACAGTTTTTTCACTTTGCAGGGAAAACCATCAATTTTAGCGATAAAAAATTTATAAAATTTTAACAATAAATGCGATAGTTATAAACAAATTAAAAAATGGGCACTTTTCTTGTTTTTTTGCAATAACTTTTTTGTTTATTAACCGATAATTTTATTCCCTACAAGCTGTCTGAGAGTCACTTTTTGCTAAAATTGATGGTTATCCCTGCAAAGTGAAAAAACTGTTCTCCTCACTTATTTGTTTAAATAGAAAAGTTAGCTAATAAAATTTTTTGACTCACGAGATGAGAGATGTGTTGTATTATGTTCCTTTAGTCAATTTTACAATAATCTCGTGGATAGGTCTTTTTTCGAGTAAAAGTTTTATGTGCTTGGCCTAGAACTGTTAATGGAAATTACTAAGAAATTACAAAAAATATGATTTGTATACATCCCAGATCTTATTTTAAAATTATTTTTTTGAATGAAGGTTATTTTTTGGTATCTTACATTACTATCGTCAGTAAAGCTGTCATTCGGAGATGATCCAGGAGTTGATGGAATATATTCCGACTCACTCCCATCTGTAGCATAAGGGTCGGGTTCGTCTTCTGGAGATAATTCTCCGATGCCATTATCTGGAAATATTCCCACTGTTTTACCACTTTTTATGTAGCAATTTTAAGTCTTATTTTGATTCACCCTTGGGTGTGAAGTAACTTCGTTAGCGAAATGTGAGACATATTTTAAACCATCCAATGAACATAGTAATAGTAACGGAAAACAGAACTATTCAAATACTTACCTTGTGCTTTATCTTTTAATAAATTAAATATTCTCCACGTTCTATCTCTCAGATTAGCAGCCATTGTATTATTTATGCACAGAAAAAGTACACAAGTACAAGTCAACTAAACTCCNTTACAATTTGTTTACATTTTTTTTATTTGAGAGGAACGATGAACTACATGGGACAAACTAACCAAAAATTGATTTTTACTTCCACAGAAAAGGGAGCTTTAATTTTTCGAACTGGCTTGAATGGCACATACTTCTGCGTCCATTAACATTCGACGTCCGTATACGTTTGTATACCATTTACCTAAATAGAAATGAAATCTGTTTCCAGCTTGAATAAATTAAATACATCGTTGCCAAGTTTGGACGCAGAATTATTTGAGAATTGTTCCAAAATATACACTTTAAAAATATACGGCACTCGATTTTATCGCAAACTGGTGTTAAACTGCTGAACCTTTACTGTATACTATTTTACATTTTACAATCATTCCTGCGTCCGGGCGAAAGTTTATTACGGCTAAACGGAATGACTTGGAAGAAAACAAATCCATTCTAATTGGTCTATTTAAGTCGGGGGAGGTCGCTGCCTTCAGAAAACACGGATGTTTTTTCTGCGTCCACATACAGACGTCGAATGATGGTGGATGCAGAATCATATGTAAATTGGAAGAACATGGGCGCAGAATTGATAGCAGGATATATATCTGTACCTCAGAGGTCAACAAATTATTCGTACTTAAGTTGTTTGTATTTTTGTTAAATATTGCTTTTCTTGTTCAATGTTTTAAACTACTTTATATGAGATACAAGTAGATACATTGTGTTAGTATTTAAAATAAAAATTGCGTAAAATTTTGGTTTTAGTGGACTTAGTATAGGTTACCACCAAAAAGTTTTGTTTTTTTTTGTGGACTTAGTATTGAATATTTCAGCCAGTGTGACTTAGTATATTTTATTTTTAAAAGGAGCAGGACTTGGTACTTTTTTGCTTGGGAACAATGCAAAAAGATAAAAAAGCAGGTGCAAATTTATAAGCATGTCAAACATAATTATTATAACATAAAATATATATTTTTTTTTTAAACTAAAACAGTCTGATTTACTGAACTACCTAATAAACTAAAATTAACAAACTTGAGCTAGACACTTGTTGGTTGCATAAACTTACTAATCATCGTCACCTACAGCATTGCTATGAGAAAGATCGTGGTAGAAGGTATGGAACCTTTTTGGAACCCACTTTAATAAAGTTTGTAGATGTTTGTATTTCTTCTCCCCGATTGGTTTTGAGACGTTTCTTATAGTTGGTATTTCGTCAGGAAATACTATTGATCTGCGTGTATTTCGATTCAAATCAAGAGTATCGAATTCATCCTGGTCGAAGGAACTCTTACAAAAAACCTTGCCTGATAGGTCAGACCGAACCTGGATATGAACCAGCTTAGATATTTTGAACTCTTTCCCGTTCTCATACTTCTTTTTATGTATTAGTGGGGCGTTACTGCCGTTACTCAGAAACAAAAAGTCTTTGAAATCTATAGTCTCCATGTTAATTACAGAAAATCTTGTACTAGCTAATCGTACAAGTTGTTGCCAGTCCCACGGCGTCATTATTTGAAATTTGGGCATCTTTTTTCTGGCTCTCTCTATAAGAGAGGGGTCACTATCCACTTCAAGGTGAGTATGCCCTCTCAAAAGGTATTTGTGGTTTATAACTTTCAAAGTTGGGATTAATTTTAAAGGCAGTATAAGCCAATAGTGCGTTGATGTTTCGATTCTGAGACGGGCAATTATCGGACCAAATAGTAACTTCTTCCGTCGAATTCTCAATACTTGTTACTAGATATTTCATTAAGCATGAAGCGATTTCATTGCCACCTCTTCCTGCTACACTTTCATCCCACATACAACATGATGTGATGTTCTTAGTAGTGTCTTTGATTGTGTAGTTATAAGTCCACAATTTCAATGAATAGAAGCTCTGAGCATTTGTCAGAGTAGGTGTTGGTAAACACTTTTCGAGGTCTACTGTCAGGCACTTTTGATTTGTGGAGTTTTGAGCATTTTTCTTATCTTTGTTTTTCAAATCATACCTTTCCGATGCTTCTTCCAAATGCTTATCATACTGTTCTTGAATAGTATGCCTTTCTTCTCCAGAAGAATCCTTCAACTTCACTAAAAATTCATCACACTGATCGCATGTATCGTTATCAGGAGCCTTGAAAGAGTAGTTGAATTCATTATTAAATATTTCATAATACAGCCACGCTTTGGGTACTTCATTTTCAGGAACTTTTTGTGCCAACATTTCTTCTCTGTATATATCATACATTTTGGCGATAGTTAAACTGCTGTATTTTTTGGATGACCGCTCTCTGCTATAGTGTGATTCAGTAGTAGGAAATTTTGATATGTGATTTCTGGTACTGTCTCTGGCGTCAGCAGGTATTTTATTTGGTGGTACTTTTTTCCCACGTTGATCAGCACCCGTCATACCACCAACCAATTTTTTGGTTAATGCTGCCGAGACAAATGTCTGTGAGATCGCCAGCGTGTTTAAAAAAAATACCTTGCATACTTCCGTCTGAACACTGTCAATACTGAAAGTGTACTTTCTGTTACAGGTTTTTTTATTTTCTCGTTCTCCTGTTCTCGAACGTCTTCTTTTAACATCAACCAAATATACACTGGAAGCTACGAACTGCCGTTTTAGTTCGACTGACTTTGTTGTCGACCAAAAGTTTCTAAAAATGTTCCGGCGTTGTTCCGGCGTTATATTTAAGAAACATTTAAATCTGCACGAGTCTTTACATGGAGGACCAAGGGACTTGGCCTCAATTAAAGTCTCACGTCGGGAAATATATTCTTCTCCAGAAAGGTGTTTGCGTTTTCTTACATTGCTCTTCCAGGAGTCAGGATTCCTTTGACGTTTCCTACATTTTTTGCGAACCGTTTGCTCTCCATTTGAGCCTGCAGAATCCAAATTCGGGCTTTCATCCCTGTTTCCCAGAACGCTGTCATCACTGCTGCTAGTGGAGGTCTCGTAATCGGGATCTTTTACGCTGTCATCCGAATTAACTAGTAGATCAGTTTCACCCACAATCGGCCATGACTGAGACTGATTGTCATTTTCATGAAATTTGCCTTGATATTGCTGACTAAAATGTTTAGTCGACGTCGTGACTTGAGGCTCGAAATCATTTACCATTACATGTGGACTTACGGGTGGGGTAGCTGTCTCGAGCCTAAGTAGTTTGCTTGAAGACCACTCCCCAGAGTGGCATAGCCTTTCTTCAGAAGATGACTTCAGGTTTAGTTGTTCCACATCTGTAAAATAAAAAAACAAGGCTTATGAAATGGTAACAGAGATTCTTTATAGAAGTTAACCAGTAATTTGAAGCTCCTTTCCTTAATTGAAATGCTATGCTATCTTTTTTAAGTTAGACAAAACGGACTTTTTAAAAATATAATTAAAATGAGATTTGTTTTGCTAAAAATACTAGCATGGGTAATTTCTCCTTGCACTATGTATGTTGAAAATGTTTTCCTAATAATACGTTTGTAGCTTACTCACTTAGCAAATCGATGGATACAGGGCTTACAATGGATTGAGGGCTTCCAACTAAAAGGCTATCACATTCACTGTACTCTTCCGGAAAACTTGAACCATATCTCGTTGAAGGATCTAAAATAAAACAAATATCTTCAAAAAAAGCAGAAATTAAGTCATTAAAACCTATACAATTTCAACTTTATTCTCTCACGAAACTTAATAATTTTTCATCACTTTTTTCGTAAAATCAACAGTGAACATTTTTCTCGTTAGGTGTGAAGTTATCAGGACACGCCCTTCATTAAGTAATTAGCATACACTGAGAATAAAGTATGGCAAATTGCCCCTTTTCTAATAGAAAAATACTTTTGAAAAATCGATGTACTGCCGTGAACAGTGTCAGAAAGTGACGTCACATTTCTACTCGAAAATAATTTTCTATTTACCAGTGTCTCAGATAGGTCACTACTCGAGTATTTACTACTTTAAGATCGGTAGTTGAAATGCCATGAGACGTAACGAATTTACATAGTCAAATAGCAAAAAAGAAATTGAAAATTTTAGAAGTAGGTACTTACCATTTTGTTGCACTTGTACATAATCTGCTTCTAACGGTTTAACGGCTTTTAAAGCAGCCAATATTTTTGCACTTCTAGAACTCATAACTTTTTAGCACAGAAACAAAGCGCCCTTTCTTCGCAAGAAATGACAGAATACTAAATATTCATCAGCTTAAGACGGATAAATAGATCACGTGTTATTGACACGTGCATGCGTTTTTTTGTACCAAGTCCAGTTCCGATGGAGATAGTACAGTGGCACGGAGATACTATGTCCGCTTAGTATTCTTTACCTCTCAGTGATTTTGTGACTTGATACTTTGTAACACTGTCTAATTTGTTACTCAATCTGAATTCAAGTTTGAAAGTATTTTTCCCTAAAAGGTCTCAAAAAGTCATGTCACTAGCTTGATAAACCTCATTTTGGGCAAAAATGGACTTAGTACAGTTGACCTCTGAGGTACAGATATATAT